GTTATTGTTTGAAGTATTACATATGTCTCCTTTCCCTCCCATTGTTAAGATCACCTTTTATTATTTCTGTTCGGCCAGCAGTTAAGAGCCAACCCAGGCACCAAGAGGTCACGGGTTGGATTCCCAGTCAGGGCACAGGCCTAAGTTGCAGGCTCGATCCCCAGTGTGGGGCATGCAGGAGCCAAGTGATCAGTGATTCTCATCCTCACTATTTCTATCTCTCCTTCTCCCTTCCCCTCTGAAATCAATAAAAATATATTTTAAAAACTACCATTTCTTCTCAGATAGCAGCCTGAGTGGGGAGCGAAGGCTCAGTGAAGGTCAGGCTGCCACTCATTCTGACGGATGTCTTATCTTTGTGGACTTGCTGCCTCTTCCCCTGACAGGTCCTCTGATCCTCCCCGCCACCTTCTCGTCTCCATTTCCCCTGCAGCACCTACAGCCGTCTGACACACTGGCTACTTCACTTCTTTATCTTCCTCCCTGTCCACCTCTCCCCACTAGGATGGGATCTCCATGAAAGAAGGACTGGACATTTTGGGGTGGGGGTGTCACTGCTGTATCTTCAACATCTGGAACTGTACCCAGCACACAGTTTACATTCAACAAATACCTATCCAATTAATGATTGAATTAATATGTATATTTTAAAAGACCTACCTGGCATTATTATTGAGAACAAACAAGCTGACTACTGTCAAGATATGTAATTAACTTTCTGTATCTTTGGCCTGCTAGCTATCAAAGTACGAATACCAATTCTGCCCGGGTACAAACCTTCATGTGATTCATAACTGTGTTCACTGTATAATGAGACCTCTTATCTAGTGTTCCTGCCTACAGTTTCAGTTCACTAAAGCATCCTCTAATCTTCTGGACTATGGGAACCTGACATCCATTGATGCTTGTTAAACTGCCAAACTGAATTTTGTTCTCCTAAACCAGAAAGGAAATCATCTTAGCAGCATATAAGGTTTGCATATTTAAAAGTAACCATTTATGCCTTAACTGGGTTGACTCAGTGGATAGAGCATTGGCCTGTGGACTAAAAGGTCCCAGGTTTGATTCTGGTCAAGGGCATGTACCTCGGTTGCGGCACATACTCTGTAGGGACTGTGCAAGAGGCAACTAATCGATGTTTCTCTGTCATCGATGTTTCTAATTCTCTATCCCTCTCCGTTCCTCTCTGTAAAAAAAACAATAAATATATTTTTAAAAAATAAAAATAAAAATAAATAAAAGTAATCATTTAGCCCTAGCTGGTTTGGCTCAGCGGACAGAGCGTCAGCCTGCGGACTGAAAGTTCCCAGGTTTGATTCCGGTCAAAGGCACATGCCCAGGTTGTGGGCTCAATCCCCATCGGGGGGCATGCAGGAGACAGCCAATCAATGATTCTCTCTCGTCATTAATGTTTCTCTCTCTCTCTCTCTCTCTCTCTCTCTCTCTCTCTCTCTCTCTCTCTCTCTCCCTCCCTCTTTCTTCCTCTCTGAAATCGATAAAAATATATTTTAAAAATAAACAAAAGGCACCATCTGAAGCACAGGCGTCTTCTGAAGACCATTTCACTTAGCCCTCACCCCACCACTCACTTCCCAGGCAGCATTCATAGATCTGTCCTGACATGGGCCCTCTGTCCCTCCCACACCAGCTTAAACAACTGCTTAGACGGATTCTTCCTTCTACTGAGCTGACTCACTGTTCAACGGAACTGCCCACATTGACAAATGGGATAACAGATGTGCTTTGAGGAGCATGAAATGCGACACAAGCAGAAAGACGTAAAGTTAATATTGATACAAAAATATCTGTAAACATATTTAGACAGACTTGTTTAAAAAATGGGACAAAGTTATTGATGACACCTGTTTGCTTTTCTTAAAAATTTAAGAATTTTTTTTTTTTTAATCACAAAGCCTGAATAGGAGAAATCTAACCTTCACCATGAATCCTGATGTGCCTCCAAGGAGTTCACACAAGCTGCTACTATGATATGGCCTGGAATGACTTCGTGCTGACCTCACTCTGGCCAGCCATCACTGTGGGTGTGAAGTCAATGCACCGTTTTCATTAGTGAATTCCTACTGTCAGAATAAGTATAGAGAGAACCTAACTGTATATTATGTCAATATAGAATATTAGAGGTAGATGCTACATCTGGTTTTAAGGATCTTCTGCTTGAACTAATTCTATTTCTCCTATTCTGAGCCACTCTCTCAGCTTCAGCACCAGCTGACAAATAGTAATAGGAGGCACAATAAAAGTGAGTAAAAACTCATGGGACTGAAAGAGAATAATTCGATAACAGCCCTTAAGCAAGTGGTCTTGGTTAGTGACGAGGAGCTGAATCTAGGGTTTCTCGCATTTCATGACCAGTGGTTCTGTATATCCTCTGGATTGATGCTTAAGGGACGAGAGAGAGAGAGAGAGAGAGAGAGAGAGAGAGAGAGAGAGAGAGAGAGAGAGAGAGAGAGAGAGAGAGAGAGACAGAATATGAGACAGCGCCCCTTTGGGACAGAGCCATACATAGGAATAGTAGTAAGAAATAGTTTGCTTTAAGGTACTTCCTGTGGATCTGGGACTCCAAATTCTGAAGTGCATTTCCATTGAACAACTGGATCACAATGGAGGAATAATCATAAAAATGTAATCATTCTAATTCAAAAATGTCAAGGTTAGGTGTCACCTTTATTCTCATCGATCCCCAGAGGCTCCCTCTTTCCTACCTCCACAAATCGGTTTCTAGGGCCTTGGACAATCAGCCTCTGCTTCCTGCCAAACTCACGTCCCATTTCCCCTGCCTATTCCATGGAAGTGTGGCAGGCTGGTCTTCCCCTCTCCCCTGAGCCTTTGTTCCGCCTTAGTGTCTTCTTAACCTGCAAAGCCCTTTCCTCCTCAATTCTTGCCACACTTCAGACACGAGCTCAAGTCCCATCTTCTCAAAAAGTCTTTTCTGAACCCTCCATTAGCTCACTGACTTCTCCTTCTGGAAGCCTTTACAAGCACTCATGTTCTGGGCAGCTCAATTTCCTACCTTATTCCATCCATGTGTTATATGTTGTTATTTGGTTTGTTTGTTAATCCTCACCCAAGGGTATTTTTCCATTGATTTTTAGAGAGTGGAAGGGAGGGGGAGAGATAGAGAAACACCGATGTGAGATAGACACATTGATTGTTTACCTCCTACATGCGCCCCAACCAGGGATTGAGATTGCAACCGAGATACGTGCTCTTGACGGAAATCAAACCCACGACCCTTCAGTCCGAATACCGATGCTCTATCTACTGAGCCAAAGTGGCTAGGGCAGTGTCGCGTATTCTAACCTTATCTTCCTACACAGACCTTAGGAGCTCCAAGACAAACATCATGATCTGCTGGTTCTGAGAAGCAAAGTGTTGAGGTCATTATATCCAGATCTCATGAACACCAGTTGGCAGGTGGCCGATGAGGACTCCCCCATAGAATTGGTCACATCCTGAGAGAGAGGGTCAGGGCTGGCCAACACAGGGACTTATGGTTCACGGGCCCGACTCAGCCCTCTGTGGAATAATACGTCTTGTGGGATGTTTGCACAGTGGGATGGGAAAAGGAAAAAGATAGAAGCCCAGGAAAATCTGCAGAAAAAGAAAATCCTTTTTGGCCACATCCTACTCGAATCAAGGCTAAGAGATTTCCTGTTTTTAAGTTAGAGCTATCAGAAGTTTCCCATCAGAACACACCACAGACGGACTTATAACACACGCTTTTGCCCTAGTGGTACTCATCTTTTAGACAGAAAAATGTTGGTGACAGTAACTTTTCAATGGAACCCTCTACTCTGAAAAATGCCTACTGACAAGCAATACTTCCTCAGGAGCGAGAGGGGAAGTCATGTTGGCACATGTTGAAACTTAAAGTTACAGCCAAGTCCGAGAGAAATGCAGGAGAGGACACACACACACACAAAGTGTTGAAAAGGAGAGAGGTTTTAATACTGCCCATCACAGCTACAGAGAAACAAGAGTTCCCTTTCAGGAACATACCCAATCAGGACATACCCACATATTATCCAAAAAGTGGAATGGATGGTAGCCTAATGAAACCTGCATACTTTTAATTTAATAGACATTTATGTAAATGCCTGCTGTGTCCAAGCGTGTGCATGGGAACACATGTGAGTGCATGCATGCACCCAAGAGAGCTCCAGGTAGGGGGAGGGAGAAAGATTGAGAGGAACACGGAGGGTTGCCAAGAAAGAGGAAACTTTGGTTGGCATGTACCCAGTCCCGAGAACTAATCCCAAGCACAGAAATGGAGAGCAGACCTACACTTAGGTGGCTCATTAGGCAAGGGATTAGGAATCTTTCAACATGCTTTCAACTTCTGCCTCCTCCCATCTTGTTGCCATGCGATGCGCTGTGTATAACTGGGGAGTGCAGTATGGGATGAGGCACCTTGCCATATATTCACTAGGGAATTACAGTCAAGTGCTCCTCGGTAGAGTCTACTTCGTGGGGAAAGCAGGGCCCAGAAAGGGGGCCTAGCTCAGTGCCGGGGCTGACTGGCAGATCCTGAGCGATGATGAATAGATTACTGTGTGAAAGAGAGGCTAAGGGGTTGTTTTGCTTTAAGAGCAAAAAGCCTTATTCACCTGCCTTCTTAGGCTTTTATTGTCACAACAGCTTGAACTAAAATTAACCTCTAGATACAATTAGTAAAGCGAGTATCCTTGAGAAAGCACCAGTAGTGTCTTTCAAACAAGGACATTTTGAAGTCTAAATGTAAAAGATTTTTAGTAAAATACCCAGGTGGGAGGGCAGGGGGGTCAGACTTGTTTGGAAAAGTCAAGGCAGGTGCTGCCACCTTCGGCAAGGTTCTCCAGAGGCCTTGGACCTTGCAGACTTTCTAACCAAGTCCCGTGCTTCCCCACAGCTCAGCCCTTGCAAAATTCTGGCAGTGAACCTGGGCCTGGCCTTACAGACTCAGGAGAACCTCAGCCTCCTGTCAAGGTCAAGTCTGTTACCTCCATCACTGCCGGTCCTGGAGTCGGAGGCCAGGCTGTCCGTGGAGCCCGTGGTGAAGCTGACGTGGACGCTCCTGAAGGACGGGCTGAGGCTCTCCGCAGAGCCCTGGCTCACTTTCTCCAAGTCAGAGCTGCTCTTGTTCATTTTCAAAAGGTGCCTGAAAATTTTTGGAAGAAACAATGAGACTGGTTAATTTAGTTTCAAGTTAAAACCAGGTTTATTGACCATGAACGCACTACGCTCTCTCTTGAAACCTGACCTATGCCAGCAAGTTTTAGAAAAATGATTTTGGGAAGAGAGAACAGGGGCTCTTTTGAAACTGTCTGCACATACATGGCAGGAGGTTCCTTGGGTGTTTAGAAGAGGTGAGTGCATTATATTTAGACAAATGTCAAAACCATGATTTGGAGCAACTGCTTTCATTTTCTGACTATGTCTTCTAACACATTTTTGTCATCTATTATATCCTGTGCAACAACTCTACAAAGAAAAATAGAATATTATATTACAAGCCAATGTATAGAGGTATATAGAGACTGGGTAGCTTTTGCAAGATCACAAAACAAGTAAATTGCAAATCAAGATTAAAAACATAGAATTTCTTTTTTTGCCCGGTACTCTCTTGACATAGTTTCAAAAAAGTCTAGGTTGTTCCTTGGAATTAAGAGAAGCATCATTTAAAAAAAATTTAAACTTTTTTATTAAAAAAAATATTTTTTTACTGACTTTTTTACTGAGAGGAATGGAGAGCGATAGAGAGTCAGAAACATGGATGAGAAACATCAATCAGCTGCCTCCTGCACACCCCCTACTGGGGATGTCCCCGCAACCAAGGTACATGCCCTTGACCGGAATCGAACCTGGGACCCTTCAGTCTGCAGGCTGACGCTCTATCCAATGAGCCAAACCGGTCAGGGCTCATTTAACTTTTAACCAGACTTCTAATGCAATGCCTAGTCAGAATCATGTTAACATAACCCTTAGTCCAGAATTATGGAATACATCTGCCCTTAGGCTTCCTATGAAATCTTTTTGTTGCATTTCTAAGACAACATTACCAACAAACCAGCAACGGGAATACGAAGTTCACCACAAAGGACTTGGCCTTGGAGAAAACAGTTCCATTATCAGGTTGGGTGTTTAGTGTTATTGATTCCTCCTCCCCTCTTTCCAAGGGCTACATGAATATTCACTCTGACCTGACATTTTCACCACAGAGTGAGACAGAGTCTAATCAATGCAGGTCCTTCCCTGCGGGCGGTAACCCACATTTGTCTGAACTGATATTTCCTGATGATATTCTTGCTCCGCGGACAGTGGATCTATATCTCGATATTTGCTGTAGGAAATACACAATGCAGGATTGATTTGGCATCAGAACTGCCTTATTTAATGCATGTGACCTTACAGTAAAAAATGTATTGATTGTTCTTTGGCTCAGCATGGCCAGGCCCTGTGCTGCTCTTCAGAGTCATTGGAATCCTTTGTTCATGAACAGAAAAGTTTAGAAAAAGTCTGTTTGCCACCAGGAAAAGTGTTTTCTAGAAACATCTCTCTGTCCATCTTCAACCCTGAGAACCACCATGAAACATGCATTTAAAGCTGTTAAATAGGAGTGTGACATTGATGGCAATAGTATGATTAACAGATTTTTATATTTCAATGTCACTGTAGGAATCTTGGAAATATAAAATCCTTAGGAAGGGCTATGGTAAAATACAATCATAGAGGTTTCCTACAATATTTTTATCTTCACCAGATCCATCATAGTGGCTCCTCAGATGAAGCCAAAATAAGGTGTGAATCGCAACAACTCCCTGGTGTAGAAGAGGAGCCAACTCTATGGCAGCCCAACCACTCGGCCCCCTCCAGAGTGGGTCTTCAGGCCCAGAATTTTGCCAAGAGAGAAATTTCAGTACCATAGCTGCTGAGCTGACATAGCCCCCATTCCACAAATGTAAGAAAAACACTCAATGTATCTAAATAGATAAAACTAAAAAAATATACAAGTGCATGTATGAGTACACACACACACACACACACACACACACACATACACACACTTACAGTAATAGCAATCATTGAAAGAAAAGAGGGAACTCAATGAGGGAACTCCACAGGGTGGACTCTGTGTCTGCATTTATAATAAGCTCCCAGGGGAGACACTACACAGTATGCTTCTATACCAAGTGCACTCTTGCTGGGAGTGTTGGTCAATATTCTTCATCAGGTTAAGGAAGTGTTTCTATCCAGGTTTTTGAAGTGTTTCATATCCTTAAGTCATTTATAGTTATTGAACTTGATCAAATGTTTGTTCTACATCTACACAAAAATTACTGTTTCCCCTCCTTTATTCTGTTCATGGGATGAGTCACATTAATAACTCGCACACTTTAATTTACTACACATGGCTGGATTCAGTGTGACTAATATTAAACTGAAGATGTTTACATTTACATTCAAATGTGAGGTTAGCCCGCAATTTTTCTTCCTGGTACTCTTCTAGTCTACCAATAGTTTTGGTATAAGGTTAAATCAGAGCCATAAAATGAATTGGGATACATTCTCTCTTTTCAATGATATAATGTAGTGTATATAAAATAGGGATTATGTGTTTCTTGAAAGAATGCTATAACTCCAATGTCCATCAGAAAGAAATGGTTATGTTGTGGTATAATCTTATAATGGAATCTTATACAGCATTAAAAATAAATGTACTTGATTTTAATGTACCAATGTGAAAACTATGCTTAAAATGAGTATTACAAGTAGCTTTCAAAAGACTCGAGTAAAGTATACAAATGGTATTAAGTAGATATACCACTTATATACATTTTTGAGACAATGTTATATATGTTTTCCATGTCACATATATGTAATATAGTGGAAATAATACTCATAAACTTCAAGTTAGTGGTTACTCTGGGTAGCAAGGAGAAAAATGAAAATTAAGTAAGGAGAGATTTTTCCACCATACCTGTAATATTTTGTTTTAAAAACCTAATATAATGGCAAAATGTCAATACTTGAAAAATCTTAGGGAGATACACGAAGGTCTGCTAAATGAGTTTTTGACCTTTATTGCATGCTTAAATATTGCATAAACTGAAAATGAACACTTCTAGGAGCAACAAAAACCCCTAGGGCCTGAATGAGCCCAGGAATGGCCAGGCACCTCTGTTGGCCTGTCTGTGAGCCCCTGAAGGGCACGGACCCAGGATGACCCAGTGGGGTTTCTGTGAGGCTCCCAGTGGGACAGGCAAGCCCAGTGATGGCTGACCCATCACAGAACAGCCCCGTGGGTGGAAAAGGTTATTTCTCAGACCTGACGACTCTCCTGAGACTCTGGAGGTGAGTTCTTCAGCATTTCGTCACTCGGAGGGAAAAGTCAGTTTTGAAGACTCACCAAGTGAATGCAGACAGAATCAGAGTGTTCCTAGGATTGCAGGATGCATTCTCCGCAGATCCTGTGTGTGTGTGTGTGTGTGTGTATGTGTGTGTGTGTGTGTGTGTGTATGTCTCGGTGTGTGTGTGTCTGTGTTTGTGTGTATGTGTGTGTATGTCTCGGTGTGTGTATGTCTCGGTGTGTGTGTGTCTCTGTGTTTGTGTGTGTGTGTGTGTGTGTGTGAAGGGAAGTGGGGAGCCTCCTGGAGCAGACTTGGGTACATCTTAGTGTCTAAGCCACAATTTCATGTCGTCATGGCTTCCGGGGACATTCCTACTGTTTCTCTATGAGAAGAGGCACGAGGATCCCAGGATCCCACCAGGGAACAAACACCCAAAAGGCATGCAGAATGCTCTGGTGTAAGTGGGGAGGGAGACGGGTGGCCCTCCTTAAGAGCAAAATTTTGGGAGTGATGATGCTTGTGTGCGAGACGCATCAGAAACCTTCCACCCTGGAAACCTGTGTAATCTGCTCTCTTAGAGAATTTAACCTGAGAGTGAGCAAAACCATGTCAGATTTAAAAATCAAAGGGGAAGCCTGTGCAATGGATTTCTATTCTGGGTCCCCATAGTGTCTTCTGTGAGACCTAGGGCCAAATCTGAACACACGCAAAACGCACACCCAGGCTATCCTTAAGCTTCTTTCAGGGCACCTTCCCCTTGTGGATGACAGTTTGTTTTTCACAAAACTGGCGCAAACCACCCCTACGATGAAATCTGATGTCATGTCAGCGAAGGAAGTGGTTTCAATGGGCTGAAACCACACGCGCTGGGCTTTCCTCTCCGGGTGGTGAGTAACGCTCTTATCAGGGCCGGGGGAACGCGGCCCCGCACAGATGTCTTTGCCCACGCAGAGTGATAACCGACTCGCTCCGGCTCAGACTTCCTCTCCTGCCTCCCCCTGCCCATCAGCCACCAGTACCGGCGAGGAGGGGGCCATGCCGGGCCGGTGGCACCGCGTCCTTAGAGACTCCGGGCCCTGCAGCTGCTGCCCGGTGTTTTCAGAGCGGCTTTTCCCCCCATTGTCCTCAGAGAACGGAGCCTGGCCGGTGCTCTCCACACGGTATGGGGAGAAAACTAGAAAAAATAAAAAAGGATCCGGGCGGAAGAGCCATCTGCCAGACTTCCTCGTTTGTAGGAACAGCCTCTTCTAAAAATACCCCTGAGCTGGCGGCATGTCCGAAAGGCTTCACGGAGGCCGGCCCGGTGTGTGAGGGGCAGGGGCTGGGCGGCAGGCTTCCCGGGCTGCTAGATTTCAAGTTCAAAAGTGCGATCTCAAGTGTGCCCGGGGCAAGTTTTCATTTTCACTGACCTCACCCCGGGTTAGTCCACAGACGTCAGGTGGAGGGAGCGCTTTTTGCCTCTGGAGCAAAATCTATGAAAATCCGAGTGATGCCAGTGAGCAGCTTTAGGCTAGCCCTTTAGATCCGGGACACATACAAACCACCAAGTTTTTTGGGCTGCTCAAGGTCACTGCTAAGGTTAGTGGGGACTCGAAGAAGAACTCTGAAGGCGTAAACAGGTTAGAAAACACTATACACATTGAGAACATTACCGAGAAGAAGACAGAATGGGTTTAGATGCAAATCAACTAGGTCTCACCTAAATCAAAGAATGGAAATGTCTTACCATCCTAGGCTCCAGCCCAAGGCGCCGTCCTCACCAGCTGGGCCCCCAGAGCCCTGGGCCAGGCCGGGCGGTGACTGCAGGGTC